TTTATCACTTTCTGATGGAGAACAGGAAGTTTTTGCTACAAGAAGTGGAAACGAGTACCATTATAGGTATCCGGAAACCTCAGATCCAAATGCCAAAACTCTTACGGAGCTGGGGGTAGCCATAACTCCACCAGTAGCAGCTGAAAAACCTCAGAAAGTTGTTAAGCAAAAAGAAAAAGAACCTCAACACAGAGAGGTTCAAATTCCGAAGCAGTCTCGTTTTAGTCGACCGATTGGACGAGACAAACCGGAAAGCTCGAACGCACCATATCGTTTCGACGTTATGGCTCAGCTGGCTAATATCCCAGCAAGAATTACGCTATATGAGTTGTTGCGCCTCTCGAAAGAAACCAGAGAAGCTTTACAAGAAGCTTTGGCTGATTCCGAAGTATTCCTCACTCAGATCAAGCCAACTCCTGAAGAGCCAGAGTCGTCAGTGCAGCATTACAATCTGGCAGCCACGAGATTCCCTTGCATCGCTTTCACAAAAGAAGATATGCAAATCAGGAATTCAAAACATGATAGGCCTCTATATTTCACCGGATATATTGGCTCGAGCATGGTCAACCGGATCCAAGTCGATCCGGGTTCTGCCGTTAGCATCATGCCACTTCGGTTGATGTACCACCTCGGAATTCCCGCCAGCAAGTTAGCCTCCACAGGAACGGTTATTTATGGTTTCAACACAAGCGGGTCACGACCGTTGGGAAAAATCCGGGTGAAGTGTCAACTCGGAGATCTGAAGTCTGAAGTCACCTGCTATGTGATCGATGCGGAGACTTCTTACAACTTACTGTTGGGTCGCCCATAGATCCACGGTAATCTTATAGTTCCCTCCACCCTCCATCAGTGTTTGAAGTATGTCGACACTAATGAGGAGGTCAAGACGGTGGTCGCGGATAAGCAACCATTCAAGGGGTTAGAAAATTACTTTACTGACTCCCTTCTTTATGGTGCTGAGTCCGATACTGAACCATCGGCCCATGGCACGGACAGCGGAGAAGAAGCTGATACCGAAGCCGGACTCGATTATAGTGAAGGTCTCGTACTAAATGACATTGAACCTCTTGTAATCGATCTTGATGGTGATAAATCATCGGACGAAAGTTGTAACTGGCAGCTTGCCGATGAAATAATAAACCATGATTTAGAGTACTCGCATTGTCTAGATGACGTAATGCAGAAATTGTATGACGACTCTAGTCTACATATGCCACTTCGTTCGTCTTGTACGGCGACGAAACACCTTCAAAGCTCATCTGGAACAACTATGATCCTACCCGCAAAGGCAGGGGGTGAAAAAGAGATAATCCCCAATGATGCCTCCTTGGAAGGCCCCCAAATGCCTGACTGAACACCTCCAAAAAGACCCCTCGCTCGATGGATAGAAGTGCCAAACTCCACCACGGTCTCGCTCATCCTAATGTGCTCACAGGACTTCAATCTGCAGGTCATAGCACTCCTCAACAACCAATGCACGGTATTACCAATCATATACCCCAGCACCAAACAATGCCACAGTCTAGCCGAATCTGATGAAGTCGTCATTTCCCTATCAATCACCGTGCTTCCGTGCAAATAATACAAATTTCTTCTTCTGACGCCCTTCATCACAATCATGGACCCAAATGTAACCTTCAAGCGTGCATCCGCCAAGGTCACCCTATAGCCAGCTGCCTCCAAAGCTCCAAGTGAAATGATGTTCTTCTTCAACTGAGGAACGAACCTCACTCCAACCAACTCCCGAATCACCCCGTCACTCATCCTGATCCGAACAGTACCAATACCACCAATAGAGCATTTGTGATCATTCCCCATGAGCACGAAATCCCCTCTTTCCAACTCCTGAAAGCTGGAGAACCAATCCCTCCTAGGGCAAATATGGTATGTAGCCCCCGAATCCAACATCCACTCTGTAGAGTAGACAACACAAACTGACGGCAATGCAGATAATGAGTAGCCCGAAGAATTCGAATCTGAATCATTGCCACTGGCCTTGACAACATTCGCCTCTGAAGCTTGAATAGCTTTTCCTTTATTCTTTCCGACTCGATCAACTAACTTTGGGCATTCGACTTTCCAATGTCCATCCTCTTTGCAAAAGGCACACTGATTCTTACGAACTCCAAGATGTGCCCCTCTAGACTGTGACCTCCCACTACGGTTTGGACCCTTTGCTCTTGCGACCAACGCCCCTGCTACCGGCTCAATCGAAGTCTCCTTATCCTTCTTTCGAAGCTGATAATTCACAAGTGCAGCGGTGACCTCACTATACGAAAGAGATGCCTTCCCATTAATAAGAGTAAGAACGAAGGTCTCATATTCCTCGTCGGGCAAGGAACTCAACAACAACAACGCCTTGTCCTCATCTTCAATCACCACATCTACATTCGTCAAATCCGCAAGAAGCTTCGTGTAGTGGTTCATGTGATCACCAATGGAGGTTCCTTTCTTCAACTGGAAGCGGTAAAGCCTCCTCTTCAAATGCAAGCGATTCTCCACACTCTTGGTCAAATACTTGCTCTCAAGGATCTCCCAAATCTTCTTTGCAGAAGTCTCATTGATCACATCATACTTTAGATCTTGAGTGAGACAAGACCTAATCACACCACACGCCGTTCGATTCATCTTTTTCCAAACCTTCTCATCAATGTTGTCCGGTTTCCCGTCCAACTCCAACGTATCTTCCAAATTTTGCGCGTTGAGCGCATCCATGACTTCGCATCGCCAAAGTCCAAAATTGTTTGTGCCATTGAACTTTTCCACGTCAATCTTCATCGAGTGGATATTCAAGCTTTGGACGGTCTTCACGCCGGAAGTACTGCCCACAACTCCTTCTTTCTCGGCCATAATCCTCAAGGCACCACCAAACCAATGCGGAAACAAACGAGAAATAGATCCAAACTGAAAAAGACGAGATTTTTACCAAAAAGATCCCACCTTTATCACCAAACGAAGCCCTAGATGAACTTCCAAAGCGATCTACTCCTCCAAATAGCCCAAGCGTAGCCCGAGCTCTGATACCACTTGTTGTGTCTGAAGCTGTGTCGAGGAACCAAACCAAACGCCAATCCAAGAAAGCCAAACGAACCAAATATCAATGCACAAACAAAACACCAATTTTAACGTGGTTCGGCAAGTTGCCTACGTCCACGGGGCAAGGGGGGATGGGGTTTTCACTAATAGAGAAAGAGTACAAACTGAGATTACAATACGCTCAAAGGAACAAACTAATCTCACCACAAAGCTCTTAATCTCTCCAAATAAAACCCTAAACAAATAGCTCAAAAATACCTCTTTTTGTGCTCCAAATAGCCTCCAATCAATGCTTAATCAAAGCCTAAACCAAGCCTAGGAAACCCTAAAAAACGTGTCTCTATTTATAGCAAAACACAATCCCAAACTGATTGGGATTCTAAAAACGAGTCTGCCACACCCTGTACCATGGGTGTGGCAGAGGGTGTGGTGCAGGACAGATTCTGCCACACCCTGCACCGTGGGTGTGGCAGAGGGTGTGGTGCAGGACAGATTCTACCACACCCATGGTAGACATCACACCAGGGTGTGGTGGAGTCTGTTTTGGGTTATTCTTCACGTTTTTCACAATTCCTTCGCCGTTTTCACAAGGTCAACAAGACAAAATCTAAATACCTGGAAACCGTAGAATATCTAAACAAAACGTTTGGGATCAAATTCATGTCTGTTTGAAGTTTAGGTGCGCCAAAAGACCCTCCCCATCGCGTTATGCATCGTTCTGATCTTCATTAAAATCCCAACAAATTTCTCTAAAAAAAAATATTATGATGTTTTAACTTGATTAGTTCATTGTGATTATTGTATATTTCTTCCTAGCACGTAGTCGATGTAATGCAGTTCTAAGTCGAAATCAGGACAGATTTATAAAATTGTATCACCGATCTATTCATGAAAGAGATTGATAAAATGAGTAGTTCCTATCAATTTAAATGTCAATCAATTTCTGAAGAGGAAAACAATATATAACTAGATGAAGTTTTTGAGCTTCCTGATTTTACATTTATGCCATAGTATATTCCAATAGAAATAGTGATAAATTAGCGCTAAAATGGAAAAAAAAAAGATGAAATGGTAAAAGTAATTCTGAAAAAGTAGAAGGAAGACTTGCACTAAACTGAAAACGTCAATATCAATGGTCCAATGTTTAAGCATAGCATTTCAAGCCATATTAGATACGAATTCTTGATAAAAAGTTGCACCATAGTTTCTGCGTACTAAAGGCATCCTTAGATGAAAATATATTTCCATGATCCAAGAATAGAAAGTTGTCGCCATCAATTGCAACTTTAATTGGACTTATAACTTGAACACTTTAATATTTGCATTACTGTGTAGTAGAGAAAGTAATGCAAATTGATGGTTTCTTTATCTCATGGACACTTGAGTTTTGTGAGACGCACCAAAATTGTTCGCGAGGTTCCGTTAGATAGAGAAGTTGAGAGGGCGTTTTGTGCAAACCCTCTCAAAGTTCAGGGGGTGTTCCGTGAAAATTGATTCTAATTCTTTTCTTGGCAGAATAGGATGCAAGATTACCAGTGCTGTCAGCTTAGCTTTTATTTTATATCTACTGTTTTATCGGAGGGAAATGCTTTCCTAAACTTACGTGAAACTAGAACATTGTTGGTTTAATTCCAAGAGGTTGGATTTTTATGGGAAGCTTGATGAATCTAAAACTATCAGAGGTGGCTTATTTTCATCCCTCTCTAGAAATAGGAGCGTAAATATGGCTTAGGATCGCAAGGGCACTACTTTAGGGATGCAACTGGATCCCTAAAAATACAAAATACAAAAAAGAAAGGAAAAAAAATCCAATGAAAATGAAAATGCAGACCCCATGAAGTTCATTCACCTGGTCGAAGAGATTCTCGGTTTCATCAAGGAATCATCGGCATCTAAACCTGAAAACACCATGAAGCTCATCAACCAGCAATATCACTTAAAGAAAGTATCTTAAGACACTTAGCTAAGTTTTCAAACAGCCAACAACATCACCAATTTTCATTGCAACATAGTGTACAATCTCATAATACTCTCTCAGACATTATATGAAGGATTAGAAAAAAATTGTACCATATTTTATTCAAAATAAAAAATAATATAGTGAACCATATTAAGAGAGACCGATGACGTTCCCAGTTGCAAGATCGATATCGATATCAAAGAAACAAGGCCTCGTTGGGAGCCCAGGCATTGTGCTCATGGTTCCCACAAGAGGGTATATGAAGCCTGCACCAATACTTGCACGAACATCTCTAATTGGGAGCACAAATCCAGAGGGAGCTCCCTTTTGCGAAGGAACATGTGAGAAAGAGTACTGTGTTTTCGCCATGCAGATGGGGAGATTTGAGAATCCTTGCTTCGTGTACATCTCAATTTGCTTCTCGGCCTTAGAAAAGAGAGCACAAGATTTGTCAATTGAAACAATCATATGGATAAAATTTAAAAGAAAGATAAGAAGGGATTATACGAAAGATCGAGGCTCTTGTTTAATGATATTCACTAAAGTTTGACTTGTAAATATCAAGAAGTTTAACTTAATATTCTCTTAAAAGCTTAAGATCATTTTGGTAAACTGAAATTTCTCTCAATTAATAGTTGTTAACAATGTGAGAACTTGAAAAGTTAGAATCCAGAAGAAAGGAAGCTGGAAATTGTAAGATTTGTAATATAAGTAGAGCCTCAGACAACAAGGTACTTTTGTCAAAAATTGACTACTTTACAAAATTTAATAGGAGAATTAATTCAATTAAAGGTGTTTTCTTTTTCCTGGAAGAGAATAGCTACTTGATGCTATTTCGTTGCTATAGCAGAGACGATCAGTACTCAGACACAGGAGTTCAGACAAATTTTGCTTACCAGGGGACTAACTTTATATTTTAGACATGAAAATACCCAGTAAAGGTTTACTACAAATTGTTATCTCGAATCTTCTATATTGATTTTCTGATAACGCCCATAAATATTCCATTAAAATATATATCAAAAGACCTTCTCATAACCATTTTGTGACCAAAATAACCTTTCACAAGGATGAGAAAGCTAAGCTCTGTGTTACTAAAAGAAAGTAGAAGTATTAGAGAAGTATCTGTGTTCTTCCATTAACAACTTCTGGTATATATATATTTATTTATTTTCAGTTTTTGCTTGCAAAAGATGGAACTTGAAAGTGTCAAGTTGTAATATAACTTGTAGAACCGAGTTTCTTGTACTACAGATAACAGTTAGTGATATTATTGTCTATAACGTCGCCTAACTTTGCTGCAAGCAGTATCAGTCTTTGTGATCCTCAACAATATACGTAAATAATTTTGTAAAAAATTTTATATTTGAGTAAAAAAGTAGAGTTACCTGCTCAGAGTACTCAACATCACTTGCGCCATAGGACTTGGCTATTGCCTCAATCTTTGCCTTAATGCCAGAATCTAAAGGATATAAGAATCTCATGGGGTCTTTCTGGCTCTCGCATGCCTTTTGAACTGCAATCCCAAGATCAACCTGAATATTAAGGCAAACAAGAACGATAAAGTTAACTGCAGACAAACAGGACACAAACTTTCTACTCCAAATACAATAAAACTTCCTAAAAACTTGAAACACGAGGCTCAACCCTCAACTGACATCAACTTTCATCTGCCCCAATTATATAAAAAAAGTGTGATGGTCAGACTATAGGGGTATAGGCGTATATCTATTTAGTTATTCTCAATCATGTTATGTTATATTTCATTAGCATGTACACCCCGTCATCAAAGTGATGATTTTTTGTTAGGTTTTATACTGCCATGAGAATCATGTGATGGTCATACATACATATTTCTCAAGCACAGGGGTGAATGTACTAATAAAAAGAATATGTGCTATAGTATAGAGTGTGTACCTGCAATTAACCTAAACTATTATTATCAAAATAAATGGTTATACTAACCGCTCCTTTTCCACCATGAGCATGATGACTACAAACAACCGCATCAAAAGCCCCAGCTTTGATCGCTGCACTCCTCACAGCATTCATCTCTGCCTCAGTGTCCGTAGCAAACTTATTGATCGCAACCACAACATTTACTCCATAAGCCTTTGTATTCTCTATATGCCTCGCCAAATTCACACACCCAGCTTCAACAAGACCTACATTCTCATTCAAATAAGCGTGATCCAATGGCTTTCCAGCCACAACCTCGGGTCCACCTCCGTGCATCTTAAGAGCTCGTATAGTTGCCACAATGATTGCACACTGAGGTGCCAATCCACTATACCGACATTTTATGTTCATGAATTTCTCAGTCCCGATATCTGCACCAAATCCTGCTTCAGTGACGACAAAACCCCCTTTTCCTACCAATTTAAGTGCTATTTTATCCGCCACTACCGAAGAATTTCCATGAGCTATATTGGCAAAGGGTCCAGCATGCACAAGCACAGGAGTTCCTTCGAGTGTTTGCATTAAAGTAGGATTTATGGCATCTTTCATAAGAACAGTGAGAGCTCCTCCAATCCCAAGATCATCAGCAGTTATCGGTTCACCTGCCTTGCTATTTCCTATAACCATTTTCCCTAATCTCTCTCTCATATCAGCTAACGAAGTTGTAAGTGCTAAAACCGCCATTATCTCACTAGCAACTGAGATATCAAAACCAGTCTCTCGTGTCATTCCCTTCTCATCAGGCCCTTGTCCAATTGTAATTTTCCTCAAGAAACGGTCATTAACATCCATGACTCTCCTCCAAGTGACTGATTCAGGATCAATATCAAGCCTAGCAAATCTTTTAACCTCATCGGGGGTGAGTTCATCGGGGTTGTCTTTTTCGATACTGAGTTTCTTTAAACGACGAAGCATGACATCAGCGAATTTACGCTTGCCTTCTTTGTTTGGAGGGCAAAGACGATTGAAGAGGGCTTTGTCGGATTGGGAGGCTTCGTGAAAGATTCGGGTGTCAATGGCAGCGGCGAGGAGGTTGTTGGCGGCAGTGATAGCGTGGATGTCGCCGGTCAGGTGGAGGTTGAATTCGTCCATAGGAATGACTTGGCTGTAGCCACCACCGGCGGCACCTCCTTTGATGCCAAAAGTTGGGCCTTGGGATGGTTGACGAAGGCATGTGACAACCTAGAAGAAGGGAAAAAAATTGGTTATGCAAATAATTTATATAGGAAAAAATTTAAAATTCAATTTTCTTAAAGCAAACAGAAAATTTTGGATTCTTGATAATACATTTGATATCAGAAACTATCTTGGAGTGAAAAATAACCGATAAAGAACTACGTGCATGGTGTAACATCTGGGGTTAAGCATAATGTTTCAGACTGGCTAATGCAAAAATTTAATACTACAAGTACCAGTATAGTGTACAGAGCAAAGATGATTTGATAGTTAAACAAATAATTATAATCAGTTGGGATAAAAAGTTGAGTTGGCATCTCACAGTCTTGTATACAAGAAAATAAAGGCTAATAAATTAAGAAGAACTGAAGAACCAATCTTAATTTGAGATCCAGTGCAAACCATTCAATGGAGACAGTGCTACGTAAAATTTCGTGCAAGAATTACTAAGAAGGAAACCATAAATTTAGCGTGAAAAATAATTATGATACTACTATGGCCTCAAAACTTGCATGATGAGTTCATTATAGGTGAAATGGTGGCTTAACATTATGATGGGAACCTAAAATGTTGAGAAGGGATAAAAGGATGAGAGCTTACAGTGAAATTAAAGAAAGCATGATTTGATATATAAGCAGAACCTACATTACATAAGAACTAATCTTTACAAAGTATGCTTTAAATTTACAATCCCTTTATTAATTATGCTGAAGTTGAAATATAACGGAGTCTCAGAAATTTTTAACAAAAGATATGTGAAAATTCATCAATTTTGATTGTATGAAACTAAATATTCCTTGAAGAAATTGTGTGTAAAGGGAGATTACCTAACTCAGAGTAAAAGGATCATTTTAATCGCAACGGAAAAAAAAAACCTAACAGAAGAATATCAAACCTAGGATGGAAAAGAAAGATGTAGGCATTGTTATCGCTGTCACAACAGGACAGTGATAGTATGAAAAGGTGGAGTAGCATGAACTTCTCAAAGTCTCAGGGTTTATGAAGATATCACGCATTTCTTTTAAATCTCCTAGCCTCCACATAGCTTATTTAAAAATACAAATGAACAGGCAAGTGATAGATTTCAGATTGGACTTACATAGAATCATATACTGATGAGATTCTGTGTCAACTATGCAGGTCAACCCTGTCCTCTTCTCTCCCTAAGCTCATAATTTTTCAACTTTGGTGGGCATGTTTTCAAGCCTAAAACAAGTACAAATCATCCCTTCCTACTAAAATCAGAAATGAGTTGCATATACAAAGGAAGAAAAGTTTACAAAGATATCAGTAAGTTATACAAGTATTGTGACAAATTGGGTTCTACACCTTAAGATAATATGTTCCTCAGAAGCGGAAGACTAGTAATTGTCTCAAGTAAATCACTGTTCAAAATTTTACTAATGATTTGCCACCAAACCTCATTAATCAATACAAAGAGGAACAAAATGTTAGGAATCGTGACCCAATATTAGTTTATTTTGATGATAACAAATATTATATGTTGTGTGTATTATGTGTTAACATTTGTTTTACAGTATCAAAGCTATATCAATAATTATATTCAAAGAGATACTCAAGACATAGATGAGTTCAAGGCAAAACGAAGCAAAGAAGAAGATATACTTTATTGTCAAAATGTAATTTTATATTTTCTTTGCTTAGAAATTTGTACAAGCCTTGATCACTCACACACATGCACACACATAGTGTTAGAACACACTAACACATGCTTAGTGTGTTGGTTAACAATAGAAATTCCCTATGTTAGCCATTAGAGTTTATAGATATTGAGTGAGTCTTAAAACATTTTATTTATACCCCTTATCAATTAGAATCTGAAAAAACTCAAAAGATCAAAGTTGTAGGTCTCTTCAAGAGCTTTCCAACAAATCTTAAATCACCTTATTCCGATATCGGATGAGAAAGTTACAGTCAAAATACTAAAAAGAAAATTCCAGAATCTGTGAGTTTACAGTGTAGTCGACTACTATGCCTTGTAGTCGACTACTAAATAATTTTCTGACTTCACAGAGTCTGTTTAGACTCAGTGTAGTCGACTACTATGACTTGTAGTCGACTACAGATACAGTTTTTTCAGATTTTAGGTTTTAAATAAGTGACTGTTTATAGCCGTTTTGTGTAGGGCTGGCAATGGTACACAATTCCATTCCAACCAATTCATGTACCAACCGTACCAAATACGTTGGTATACCATCAAATCGGTATATGGTAAACGGTACAGTATACCGTACCAGCTTCAAAATACGGTACGGTAGGTGGTACACATTTTTCTTCTATCGTGGTATACCGTACCTATCAACTTATATTATATTAAATTATTTAATATATAAAATATATATATATCCTTAAATCTCAACCATAGTTTTAGGGAAGATAAATCTCAACCGTCGATTTTTTTTAACCCCCCCCCAAAAAAGCCAAAACCCCTCAGCCCTCACCCAGATTCTTCTTCTTTCTCTTCGAAGCGGCGGCAGCAGAAGCGCACTCCGACGATTCATACACCGGCGCAGAGATCGACTCCGCGATTCAAGCGAAGCACCTCACTGGCTCCCCGTGCTCTGCTTCCTCACTCGTCTCTGTTCAGCTGGTGAGGTGAGAATTTTTTGCTAAATATGTTTGAATTTCTCTAGAATTTTGCTAAATATGTTTGAAGCACCTCCCTGGCCCCCCGTGCTCTTTTTTTGGGTGTTTCTAGGGTTTATCTGTAATGTTTCTAATGAATCAGAATTTGTTCCCGTGAGACTGAAATTTGTTGATTTTGGTTGATAACATGTGATAAAAATGGGTAAAATTACTGGGTGAAATCAGTTTTCTGTTATAGCAATTTAACTAATATAGTTATAGCAATTTAACTAATATAGTTATAGGCTGTGAAAAAGATGATTTAGAGACTGTTGATACATGAATATAGTTATAGCAATTCCATTCCTCTTCTATCGACTGGATTGTATTTGGGCTTGCAATCAGTTTTCTGTTACTGGGTGAAATCAGTTTTCTGCTATAGCACTTCAACTAATATAGTTATAGCAATTTAACGAACAGTTGATACTTTGTGAAATCAGTTTTCTGTTTTGTGAACTTTGTAATTGATGTTTTATTCTTGTTCCATTGTAGGCAATGGATTCTTTTATGTCACAAAGTGGTACTGTGGGCTATTCAAGCTCAACACCATCAGTTCCATCCAGTGCAAATGCAGAGACCATTGCCGGTTTACATGCTGCACATCTGCCACCTCTGCCACCAATTGCACCATCAGTTCCATCCACTGAAGGGACTCATGAAGGCAGCCAGTCCAGTCTCGGAAGAGAAAAGATCCCTCAAACAAAAGCAAGATGTGACAGTACTTTACCAGGTGCAAACTTCCTGATGGTCAAATTGATCCTAAACATTGCACCTGCAACTATTGTCACGAAAGAATGTTGTGCCTCACAGAAAAGAATGGGACTAGCTCCATGTTGTATCATAGCAAGAGATGTGAGAAACACCTCTGTTATCAATAAGCAAAGGAAAGTGATACCACTCATACGAGGCTGAGTCGAGATAATGTGAGTGGAGGCACTGGATACCGGAGGTGGAACAAGAAAAGATGTGATGATAAGTGTATTGAGATGATCATCAAGGATGAGCTTCCATTTCGGTTTGTGGAGAGGGAGGGATTCAGAGCTTTATGCAATGAGTTGGAACCACAATGGACAGTCCTGGATAGGAAGCAAGTTGCTAAGGACATGCTAGAAAAGTTCAACTTGGAGAAGTCTATGTTGTTGAGTCAGCTTAAGAGGAGTGACACAAGAGTCTCTATCACCACCGACACTTGGACATCGATTCAAAATATTAATTACATGGTGGTGACTGCGCATTTTTTGGACCACGATTGGGTGCTACACAAAAGGATCATTAACTTTTGCAATATTACTAGTCACAAAGGTGAGGACATTGGGAGAACACTTGAGCAGTGCTTGAGACAATGGGAGATCAATAAAGTGTTTACTATTACAGTAGACAATGCTAGTGCAAATGACGTGGCTGTCCAATATATGAAGAGGAGGCTTACTAGTTACCAGACCTTAATGTTTAAGGGAGAGTATCTACATTTAAGATGTGCTTGTCACATTATCAACTTGATTGTGAAGGACAGTTTGAAGGAGTAAGAGAGTGGGATTGCTGCCATTTGGAATTGTGCCAAATATGTGAGGAGTTCATCGCAAAGACTTGACAAGTTTAGGGAGTTTGCAATTCTGGAACAGTGCAAGGCAAATACCAATGTCCCGTTAGATGTTATTACAAGATGGAACAGCACATATCTTATGCTTGAAGCTGCATTGAAGTATGAGTTGATGTTTAACCGAATGTGTGAAGAGGATGAGGCGTTCAAGAGCTACTTTGCAGACAAAGTTGGACCTCCAACCAGTGTTATTGAGGCGCGCGCCCCGGGCGCGCCCCGGGCGCGGGGCGCTTCAGCCTGGGCGAAATGCGCCCCGCACGCGAGGCGGGGCGCTGCACACAGCGAGGCGCGCGCCTCGCGTGCGCCTCGCACCTGTGTTATGTAACATACTCTTTCTTCTATTTTTTTAAAATAATTTACATAATTACATATTTATATCATGTAATATACTCTTTCTTACTAGTTGCTAATCTATTTTCATCTTTTCATGTTTAACCTATAAAAAGAAAACAATAATTAGTAATTTAGTATACTTGTTTGCTAATTGTAACTTCCTTCTCTAATTAGCATGCTAACTAGCAAATTATGAACATGTAAATATGTAATTGTTACATTCATTCTTCATCTTTTCAAGCTAAGTAGCAAATATCAATTAAGAATACTAACTAGAAAATTATAAACAGTCATGTTTGTTAATTATATTTCTTAGTCTTTTTATGTGACAATTTATAAACATATGCTCATAATTGTTAATCACTTAATTTGATGATTTAAATACATGTTTCTTGTATCTTTTTTGTTACTTTAAAAATTCAGTTAG